ACAACCTGACTACCAACAGAACCTCCAGGTAAGACTTTATATCTTCTACCTTCTATTACACAGCACAACCTGACTACCAACAGAACCTCCAGGTAAGACTTTATATCTTCTACCTTCTGTTACACAGTACAACCCAACTACCAACAGAAACTCCAGGTAAGACTTTATATCTTCTACCTTCTGTTACACAGTACAACCCAACTACCAACAAAACATCCAGGTAAGACTTTATATCTTCTACCTTCTGTTACACAGTACAACCTGACTACCAACAGAACCTCCAGGTTAGACTTTATATCTTCTACCTACTGTTACACAGCACAACCTGACTAACAACAAAACATCCAGGTAAGACTTTATATCTTCTACCTTCTGTTACACAGTACAACCTGACTACCAACAGAACCTCCAGGTAAGACTTTATATCTTCTACCTTCTGTTACACAGTACAATCGAACTACCAACAGAACCTCCAGGTAAGACTTTATATCTTCTACCTTCTGTTACACAGTACAACCTGACTAACAACAGAACATCCAGGTAAGACTTTATATCTTCTACCTTCTGTTACACAGTACAACCCAACTACCAACAGAACCTCGTGTTTTGCTACTGCATTCAATTTGATTGTGGATTCATATTTAGTGGAACACTTATGAGTAAAACATATTGTCCAGTATAAATGTACAATATTTTTCAGAATGATAATGATTTCATTACTTACATTACTTTTAGTGATGCAGTAAGTGCTTCCTTAATTCACTTAAGAATCTTTGGTGGTTAAAGATTTTTCAGTTTTGTATGCAGGGATATAACTGTCTTTAGAGAGATATGTATGAAACCTAACTTGAATTAGATAACCATTAAAATCAATGAAACTGGAAGTTATGGGAAAAGTTATTGACTCTTTCTAAAACAAAATAACCTTGTGTTTATATTTGTGTAATTTATTAGCATCCAAGAAACGTGGAGTTTGTGGGAGAAGTTTTTGAATGATTTTAGTGATTTGGAAACATGGATGTTGAGTAGCGAAAGGTCAGCCCGTTATCCGAAATCTGATGCTTCATTGTACAATGTACCTGTTATTCAAGAGGAAACAAAACAATATGAGGTAGACCACAAATTATATACATATTGGTAGTGAGGGAATGTAAACAGATGTACGAGCACATGTTAGTTAGGTTACTGTTGATAGTGTAGGAAAAACATTTTTACAAAGTTTATGTTAACATGAATCAGTCAGAGTTGATACCAATTAACACATAAACATGTTAGTTAGGTTACTGTTGATAGTGTAGGGAAAACATTTTTACAAAGTTTATGTTAACATGAATCAGTCAGAGTTGATACCAATTAACACATAAACATGTTAGTTAGGTTACTGTTGATAGTGTAGGGAAACATTTTTACGAAGTTTATATTAACATGAATCAGTCAGAGTTGATACCAATAAACACATAAACATGTTAGTTAGGTTACTGTTGATAGTGTAGGGAAAACATTTTTACAAAGTTTATGTTAACATGAATCAGTCAGAGTGGATACCAATAAACATGTTAGTTAGATTACTGTTGATAGTGTAGGGAAAACATTTTTACAAAGTTTATGTTAACATGAATCAGTCAGAG